GTGGCTGGCGCCTTAGCCGGTTGAGCTATAGGTGCCGAGCCGGACAAGTTATTAAACTTCTTTGCACATCAGTTTTCTCATAAATGAGACACTGACCTTCTTGGTGTGTTGTGAGGAATGAATTATGCATGTAGTGCATATAAAGTGCTTAGCAACTAAGTGTTCTAACAGTACAAAATTGTTAGGTATTACTTTGGACGTTAAGTAAAGGACCCATAACCTGATCTAACATACAGGGAAAGGAGGCATACAGATGCTTTGGTGAAACTCTTTGAATGTAGAGTTTTAGAGGCAAAAGTTCATATTAATTTTATTTTGTAAAGTTTGAGATACATGTTCATTAATTTAAAGTTGTAATGAATAATGCAGGTACATTGATATACCCTTCATCCAGTTTTCCCCAAGGCTAACATCTTGGTCACTAAGCACAATATCGCAACCAGGAAACTGACATTAGTATAACTCAGAGTACATTCAGAATTCACCAGTTTGAGCACTCAAGTCATGCGTGTGTGTGCGCGTGTGTATTTAGTTCTTTGCCAAGGCTGTTCTCTAGCAGGAGCATCCAGATAGAAATTAGGTCATTAACACAGTAATTTAAATGATACTGGAAGAAAACAGTTGCGTGCATTCATGCCAACCACACACTTGAATATTACAGTCAGAATTACGCTCAGATAAAAACTCAGCACAGGGGCATCTGCCTCTGCCTCTGCTTCTTTCCTTCTCCCTCCACTACCTACCCCCGACCTTCCTCCTTAAGGCTTTACTCTAAACTGAAGAGCTAAGATATGCGACTAGGGAGATTACAAAATAAAGCTTCTCTTCCTCATAGTTCACACCAACTGTTGAGAGCAAAGGAGAAGGTTTAACTCTTTTGATACAGATTTGAAAATGCATTTTGCCTTCACATCAATCATTTGAGCCTTGTCTCCTTTTCACTTCCAGTTGGGCAAGGTGATTTGATCAACAAGGGCAGAGAAGGCCTTGCACACCCGCTCAGCTCCACAATAGAGGTCCATGTTCACTGAAGACTGTTGACCTGAAATCAACAAACAGGAGAGTCTTTCAGAGAAGCACATTTATAGGTTCTCAAGCCCATCTCGGTTAAGTTCTTATACAGTGGAGAGACCAGGTCCGTTTTTCCTCAGTTCCTAAGGACAGTGCTTTCCCCCTTATCTCTGTAGCATGTTCAATAGTACTAATTCAGCTAGGTGTGAGTTCTCGAGAAGCATTTTCCCATGGCTCCTAACACAAATCTGAGCAGCCAAAAAGCCCATTCCTGAGTTCTCAAACTCTAGTATACAACAAAATCACCTGGAGAGTGCTAGAACAGATTTCTGGGCCCCACCTTCACAGCTCCCATTCAGTCTAGTGAGATGGGGTCTAAGAATTTGTTCTATTAATAGGTTTCCAGGTGATAATGATATGGCTAGTCCAGGGACCACACTTTGAGAACCAGTGTTCTACAGTTACCTGATTAATGGTTTGAGTGGTTCTGCATGATCTATTGTAATAAGGATTGTGCTGTGGAAAGATGTAGCAAGTATCAAGCAAAAATTTGATGTGCATAAGTTTTAACCTTCTTTGTCTTTTGAGCTAGTTTCTGATTTAAGGCTATTTTGTTTGACATAAATATAGCTACCTCTCTGCTTTGTTTTGTAGTTTTTGGTTGAAGCTGGGTTTGAACCCACCACCTCTGGCATATGGGGCCAGCACCCTACTCCTTTGAGCCACAGGTGCCGCCCCTCTCTGCTCTTTTGTGGATACTATTCACATGGAATGTCTTTGCTATTCCTTCCCTTTCAATCTTTGTGACCTTAACCTTAAAATTTTTTGTAGACAGCATATACAGTAGAACCTCCATAGTTGACCACCTCCTTAAGTTGACCTAATTTTCATAGCAGCCAGCCGTCATATGTACCCCAGGGAAATTCCTCGTGTTGACCACCTCCATATAGTGACCAATTTGTTACAATCCCTTGGATGGTAAATTTAATGATTATAAGTCTTTTGATTGGAGACTTTAATCCAACTATGAAGTATTTAAAAAAATTTTCATAGGAAAGGAACATTTTGTGTGTGATTTTGTTAGTTGTTTTCTGTCTTTTAATTTTTTGCCCTCTTTTCCTTTTTTTTTTGGTGTGTGTGTGTATTATAATTTAATTCTTTTATTTTTTCCTTTCGTGTATCTTTTTTTTTTTTTCTTGAGACAGAGTCTCACTATGTCCCTCTCAGTAGAGTGCTATGACATCACAGCTCATAGCAACCTCAAATTTGGGGGCCTAAGGCTCAGTGCCTATAGCTTAGCAGCTAGGGTGCCAGCTGCATATACTGGAGCTGGCCAGTTCGAATTCAGCCCAGGCCTGTCAAACAACAATGACAACCACAACCAAAAAAATAGCTGGGTGTTGTGGCAGGTGGCCATTTTCCCAGCTACTTGGGAACGTGATGCAAGAGAATCGCTCAAACCCAGGAGTTGGAGGTTGCTGTGAGCTGTGATGCCATAGCACTCTACTTAGGGCAACATAGTGAGACTCTGTCTCAAAAAAAAAATCCTTGGGCTTAAGTGATTCTCTTGCCTCACCCTCCCAAGTAGCTGGGACTACGGGTGCCCACCACAACACCTGGCTATTTTTGTTTTTTGGTTGTTGTTGTCATTGTTGTTTAGTAGCCAGGGCTGGGTTCAAACCCTCCAGCCCTGGTGCATGTTGCCAGCGCCCTATCCACTGAAGTATAGGCACCAAGCCATTTTTGCATATCTTCTATAGTTATTTTCTTTGTGCTTACCAGGAGGCTTACATAAAATATTCTATAGTCATAACAGTTTATTTTAGCTGATTAACACCTTCATTTAAGTTGCTTATGAACACCTTTTACTTTTAATCCCCCCACTTCATTATTGACATCACAATTCCCATATTTTTATGTTGTATATTAATACATTTTAATAGTTATACTTATATTTAAATATTTTTGTACTTTAACTTTTACATCAACATTAAAAGTTATCTTCACACCACTGTTTCAGTATTATAATATTTTGCATTTGTCTCTTTATATTTACCCTTACCAACAAGTTTTTGGGTATAGTATTTTTGGTTGGCAGTTCTTTCAGGACTTTGAATTTATTTTCCCATTTCTGTAAGGTTTCTGTTGAGAAATTAGTTTATAATCTTTTTTTTTTTTTTTTTTTTTTTGCAGTTTTTGGCCAGGGCTGGGCTTGAACCCACCGCCTCTGGCATATGGGGCTAGCGCCCTCGCTACTCCTTTGAGCCACAGGTGAGGCCTTGGTTTATACTCTTATGAGGGTTCCTCTGGGCATGACAAGTAAATTTTCTCTTGTCACTTTCAAAATTCTTTTGTGTGTGACCTATGACAATTTGATTGCAAGGTGTTCTTAGGGTGGATTTCTTTGAGTTCATCTAATTTGAAATTGGTAGAGCTTCCTAAGTTCGGATATCCATTTTCTTTTACAGATTTGAGAAGTTTTTACCATTCTTTCTTTTTTTTTTTTTTTTTTTTTTTGCTTTAAATAACAATAAGCATTTATTATTTGTCATATCACTTATTATTTTTCTGGTTAAGGAAAGTAGTTTGGCTGGATGGTACTGGCTTTGGGTTTCTCATGAGGTTGGTCAGTTGTCTACCAGGGTGGCAGCCATGGAAAGTCTTAACCAGGGGAGGATAATCCGCTTGCCAAGTGGCTTACTCACATGCCTGGCAAGTTGTCTTCTTACTGTGTGAGCCTCTTAAGTAATGGTCTTCAGGAGAAGGATCCCCTATGCAGGCATACCAGAATCTCCATATGGAATTTTATTTTATTTTTTTTTTTGATTTTTTAGTTATTTACCAGTAAGAATAATTAACAATCAATATAAAAGAAAGGCACATTTTAAAACTCTAAAATAGAATGTCATCTATTCATGAATAATTTGTGATTCTTAACATATTATAATGAGAAGAATAAGAGTTTTAGAGTCAGATAAACTGAGAACAAAGCTCTTTGAGTCAGTTATTAGTAATATGTGCCTATGGAATTTATCCTTTATGTTTTTAATTTTTTTTTTTTGGAGACAGTTTTATTATGTCACCTTTGGTAGAGTGCTGTGGTGTCACAGTTCACAGCAATCTTAAACTCTTGGATGTAAGCGATTCTCTTGCCTCAGCCTCACAAGTAGCTGGGACTACACATGCCCACCACAATTCTTGACCCTTTTTTGTTGTTGTTGTTGTCATTGTTGTTTAGTTGGCCTGGGCCAGGCTCAAACCCACCAGCCTTAGTGCATGTGGCTGATGCCATAACCACTGTGCTGCAGGCACTGTGCTATGTTTTTAATTTTTAATTATTATGGATACATAATAGTTATATATATTTATAGGGTATATGTGATGTTTGACACAGCATACAATGTAAGTGAATCAAATCAGGTTAATGACAGTATCCATCACCTCAGGCATTTATCATTTCTTTGTGTTAGGAATATTCCAATTCCACTCTTTTAGTTGTTTTAGAGTATATACTAACTTATTGTTGATTATAGGTATTTTGTTATGCTATCAAATATTGGTCATTCTATTTAATAATCTAACTTTAATTTTGCTTAACCATACCCACTTTATCCACTCCTCCCTGCTATTCTTCCCAGCCTCTGGTAACCTTCATTCTCTTTCTCCATGTGATCAATTGTTTTTAATATTCAGTTCTCACATGCGAAAGAGAAAAATGTGAGATTTGTCTTTCTGTACTTGGCTTATTTCACTTAACATAATGTTCTCTAGTTCCATCCATGTTGTTGTAAATAGCAGGATTTATTCTTTTTATGGCTATATAATATTCTATTCTGCATATTTACTGTGTTTTTTTTAATCCATTTATCAACTGATGGATGGCTAGTGCTGCAATGAATATAGGAGTATAGATATCTTTTCAATACTAAATTTCCCTCTTTTGAATATATGCCTAGCAGTTGGATTTCTGGGTCATATGGTAATTCTTTGAGGAACATCCATGTTGTTCTCCCTAGTAGTTGCACTAATTTTTATTCCCATCAAGAGTATATTAGGGTTCTACTTTCTCCACTTCCTCACCACCATTCATTATTTCCTGTGTTTTGGATAAAAGGCATTTTTGACTGGAGTGAGATGGCTGCTATTTTTTTGAATGAGTTTTCTGGTTCCCTTTCTTTCTCTTCCACTTCTAAAATGTCCATAATGCATAAATTGGTCAGTTTGATGGCATTCCATATATCTCTTAAACTTTCTTCAGTCTTTCTCATTTTTTTTTCCTGTTTTTTATTCCCCTCTAGATAATTTCAAATGGTTTGTCTTTGAGTTTGCTGATTACTTCTTCTGCTTTGTTTAGTCTACAATTAAACATTGAAAATTCCATTGAAAATTTTAGTTTAGTTACTGTATTCTTCTGCTCCAAGATTTCTGTTCGGTTCCTCTAAAAATTTTCTGTCTCTTTGCTAAATTTCTCATTGTTTATGTGTTGGTCTCCTGAGCTTGTTGAGCATCTTTATGATGGTTGTTTTGAATTCTCTGCCAGGTAATTCACATTGCTCTGTTTCATGAGGGCCCACATCTAGAGCTCTGTCTTATTTCTTTGTTTGTACAGTGTTTCTTAGTTGCTTCATCTTTCTTTACTGTTTGTGTTGGTATCTGTGCAGTAGAAAAAAATAACCATTTCTCTTAGTCTCCACAGACTTGTTTCATATGGAAGAAGATCCTAAGCAATCAGTGTGGTTAGGTTCTGTAGGCTTCTCAAACCATCATGTAGTCCCAGCTGCCATGTTTCTTTTTAGCAGCCCTCAGGCATCAACAGTATGATGGGTTTTGTTAGTACTTTCAGACAGTTGAGACAGTGGATTGGCTCACTGACATCTCCAGAAGAGCTAGAATGTAGAGTGCATGGTCCAGTTTCTTCCCAAGTAAGAAATTAGGATCTGGGTTGGTTTTATTCAACTTCTTGCTTTGCAATGAGCCTATTGGAAAAGCTATGACAAGTGTTTTCATGCTAGTCTAAACCACCATCTTTATTTTCAAACCATGCTCTCCTAACCCCATCATTCTACTCCCATCATCCTTTCTCATCTGAAACCTCTGGTAGCAAATGAATGGCAGAAAGGGATGGGAGAGAAGCTTCAGGAACAATTTAGTTAGATGTACACAAGCAATTTCACTGTCAAATGGAAGGAAAATAATAATACAGTAAAACTGGAGGATCGTGTCCTTTTTATTTAACTACAGGGACAAATAACATTAGATTTATTCAAATCTAATTCCTTTACTGTGAGTTTTAATCAAATTGTTTACTACTGGTTTTCAGTCCAACATTTTTAATTTAGAGAAGTTTGGGGAATCCTTTCTAACACAATTTTCTTTTCTATTAAGCTCTCATAGTCTCTTGAAATCCCATTATCTTAGATCTTGATACTGAAAGACTCTATTTGGCTTATGTCAACAACTGCCCCAAACTGATAATTAGGTTTGCTGTTTTAGTCTTATCAAGCCTTTAAGTAATGTAAAGTTTATCTTAATTTTTTGAAATGTGTTGGCTCCTTAGCAAAGCTGCAGTCTGGAAGGGCTGTCAACTACTAGGATAATCACCACCCTAGATGAATACCTAGATTGACTCCCCATCTGAGTAAATCTTAGCATGTTACAAACAGTAGATCTTCTAATTTTCCCAAAAATTCTCAGCCAAAAAAAAACTTGAACAGTAATGTGATCAGAAACTTTCTGCTGTTATCTGATGTATCCACGCTAGAGACAGAGGTAACCAAAGGTAAGCAATACCTTAAGTTAGTTTGTTTCACTTTTCACATCTTCATTCATGTAGTTATCATACTTCCTGCTCCGATTAAGTCTGGTGTAATTTTCATAACAATGAATAGATTATGTATAAATTATGGAGTGCATTTTTATAATCCATATTGCAAATGGCTAAGTGGAGCTTAAAAATAGGATCATGTTCAACATCAGATTGAATAAGGACACAAACTTGATTAGAAATATTTGAATGAGGAAAGAGATGTAATACAAAATAGTAGTTATGAATATTAACATAGATCCTTATGTTTAAAGGCTTGTAAGAAATAAGACTAACACAAAAGAAATAAGATTGTACACTTAAATCTCAACAATCATCACAAGGGATAGAATCCTATAATAACAAAATTAGAAGATGTGTACCTTCTTGGTAACATAATGAGCATGTTTGTATAATAGTGCATACTTCCTGCTTCTTAATGGTTTTTAATGGTTCTACTGAGACATGTATTTTTTATATTGTCTACAAGATTTGATAATGCTAATTGCATCATCTAAATTTAGTACACTTTACCATTTTATGATTTTCCTTTTAATAATATAATGATGCATATGCATACATATCCATGCAGACCTTGAAAAGTCATCTAAAATATGTGTGCATGACTCTTTTAGCTTTTGGAATTAAACTTCGCAAATCTTGGGATATTGTTTTCCAACTATGTGTAGTAGAGCTCACCTATTAGGAATCTAAAATATGCAATAAAGTAACTACATTTGTGAGGGCTGATCTAACACAACATTTTAGAAATTAGCAGCTTTTATACACTCATTCAGAGAAACAAAAACAAACAAAAAGACTAAGATGTCAAAGACTAAAAAACTTGTCTCTAAAGTCCAATTTTTTATGTGACATTTTCCTACAAAGGTCAAGTGGATATTGATTTTTCTTTGAATACTCAGCATGACCCCAAGGATGTTTATATGGAATTGTAGTAGGTGGAATGAGGTGTCATCTTAGGAATTAGACACATGGTGCTCCCATCCCATCTTCGTTTTAGGCCATCTGAGCATACGTCTGACATCTTCCTGGATTTGTTTTCTCTAAGGAAAAGATTATAACTTCAACTCCATTTACTGTAGAGCTTTTTGGAATCACCAAATTAGTTAGCTGACTTGACTCTACAAAGTTGTGTATGAAACTGACATTATTACACGTTCAGTTTATAACTCTCTAGTGGTCACAGGCTGAATTGTGCTTACCCTTTCTCAAGTTGATACATTGAAGTCCTAAACCCCAGGAGCTGAGAATGTGACTATATGTGGAGGTAGGGTCTTTAAAGAGATCAATTATGTTAAAATGAGGTTCTTAGGGTAGGCCCTGGTCCAATACGAGTGGTGTCCATATAAGAAGACATTTGGACAGAGACATACACAGAGGAAGACATCAGAGGACACAGCAGAAGAAGGCCATGTAGAAGCCCCAGGGAGAGACCTCAGAAGGAGCCAATGCTGCTGGCACCTTGATCTTGGACTTCTGGCCTCTACGTTTGTGAGAAAATAATTTTTTGTTTGCTTGTGTAAGCTACTTAGTCTGTGAAATTTTTTAATAGCAGCATTAGCAAACTAATACACCAATTCAGAAATATTTTGAAAAGAAAGATATAAGACTACTATCCTTCATTTGTCACAAGTCTTTAGATGATCACTCTAACATATTAATAAAAAATCTCAGATTTTTTTCAGAAGAAATTTATGTATACAGAGTCACTTAAACAACATGGGTTTAAACTGTGTGAGTTCACTTACACCTGGATTTCCTTCTGCCTCTTCCACCCCTGAGACAGCCAGACTAACCTTTCTGCTTCCTCCTCTCCTCACTTACTCAATTTGAGTGTGATGAGGATGAAGACTTCATGATGATTCCCTTCCACTTAATGGATAGTAAATATATTTTATATTTATTATGATTTTCTTTCTTTCTTTTTTGATCCCTGAGGGTAAACAGTGATACTATGCAGTGTACTGTATTCAATAAATTTCATGAGATAGTCAATACTTTATTATAAAATAGGCTTGGTGTTAGATGATTTTGCCCAACTTTAGGCTAATATGAGTGTTCTGAGCACATTTAAGGTAGATTAGGCTAAGCTATGATGTTAGGTAGGTTATATATATGTTAAGTGCATTTTTTACTTAATGATATTTTCAACTTACTATGGATTTATCAGGACATAACACCATTGTAAGTCAAGGAGCATTTGTGTATGTGTATATGCAAAGATAACAGAATGCTCTAACTAGAAACATGACAACGTCACTCCAAAACACAAGGAACAAATTGTAAGAAAGAAGAGAATTTTTTAAAGCATGCAGAATTTAATGATAACTCATAGCTTATGAAGAAGATAATAACATAATATAGAAACCTTCATTATCTCCCACAAAGAAAGCAGCACTGTTATCCCCATTTTTAAATAGTGACATCAAGCTGCCCACTTATATATGATTCAGAGCTACTGATAATAATAATTGTAATAACAAAGTATTAAGGATTTATTGAATGCTAACTATGTAACAGGCACTATACTAAAGTCTCAAATAGTTCATTATCTTTAACGCTCACGATATCCCTCTAAATTAGGCAGAGGCAAATGATGAAACTTGTGGAAATCAAGTGAATCAAGAGATGCTACTGATATACAAAAGATTTGGAACTCTGTTACATAAGAGATAAATTGCAGCTGTTGGGCTAATGTTATATATTTTTAAGAGCCTGAATCCCTGGCCATCACTGTGTCTACTGACTGTGAAACTCTTACCTGATGGTGTTTCTAGATTGAAGGCATCCACAAGTTTTGACAATAGTTCTTGCATTTCCTCTTCTTCCAGCTCATCCTTTTTCTTTGTGATGATACTTGTTTCTTTCCTTTCTGTGGGTGCCAGAGCAGGACTGCTCATTTCAGCAGGAGCCATTTGGAGGGTGTCCTGCGGTGGTCCCTCCTGACAAATGGATGGGGAGCTAAGCATTTCCTTTGGCATCTTTTGTGCTTGGCTTTGTGCCTCGATGCTTTGCACAGTGGCCTCTGGTGATGCTGAATTTGGAAGTCCATGCTCAGCATTTGCTTGATTTCTGTGACTTCTGTCCACGTTGGTGGGGTTAGGAAGAGGTTTCCATGCTGCACCGTCCTCAGGGGAGTTCTTGATCTGGAAAGAGTCTCCTCCCTCTCCAAACCTTTCAGCTGAAGAATGGTCAACCTTGGATGCCGAATTTTGACTGGAAGAAGATGAAGGATGGAGTGGCTGCAACATCGCCTAGATGAAGAAAACTTTATTTATTTATGAAGAAATGAATATTTATCTTACTTTTTCAAAATGTGTTATATTTTATTATCCCAATAGAACATCCTAAAGCAAGATTTTTTCTCTTCTCTAAATGTACTATTATTATTTATTTTATTCTGCTAATTTCACGTCAACCTAAAACTCTCTATAAGAGTTGGAACAGCTGGCTCGGCGCCTGTGGCTTAAGTGGCTAAGGCACCAGCCACATACACCTAAGGTGGTGGGTTCGAATCCAGCCTGGTCGCCAAAACAACAACAGCTGCAACCAAAAAATAGCCAGGTGTTGTGGTGGGCGCCGTGGTGGGCACCTGTGGTCCCAGCTACTTGGGAGGCTGAGGCAAGAGACTTGCTTGAGCCCAGGAGTTGGAGGTTGCTGTGAGCTATGATGCCACAGCACTCTACCCGGGGGATAGCTTGAGGCTCTGTCTCAAGAAAAAGAAAAAAAAGAAGAGTTGGAACAGCTCAGGTTCTAAAACACCACAGAGAATAAACATAAGAAATTTGGGAACAGGAGGCTGAGGCAAGAGAATTGCCTAAGCCCAGGAGCTGGAGGTTGCTATGATCTGTGATGCCACCGTACTCTACTGAGGGCAACAAAGTAAGACTCTGTCTCTGAAAAAAAAAAAAAAAAGAAATTTGGGAAAATTCTAGGTTCTAAAAAAGCTCAGGTCCTAAGTATATCATAAGGAATTTCTGAGAACACAAGCATATGTTGAATTGTTAGATAAAA